CCTTGGATGAATGAAAGCATCAGGTTTCACGATGCGTTATTCAACATTTGACATTTGACATATGACATCTGGCAACATTTGATACCTTTTGGCTGAAATAGAATGGCATTAGAACAAAACGTTAATGAAGGCATAGGCTAAAAGGAAATGTATTTTCTCACTAATACTTGGATACTTGGATGGCCCGTCCTCACTAGTTGTGCGGGCCCCAGTATAGTGTCCATATTTCGGAGTTTTGCTGGCTTAGCCATTGTGGATCGCTGGAGTTCCAAGTTCAGCCAGGTCAAAGTCTACCCCAGGTCGTCACCACAACGGGTAGTTGCAGCCTGGATCAGTGGGAAATTTGCCACCATGCGACTAGTTTGATACAGGACGGTGATGGTTCCTGGTATTGGTTTACTCTTAGCTAGGTTCCCTGATGGAGAAGCTGGACATGTTCTCAGCTTGGGAGACCCTGCCGAAGAGGGGGTAGGAGGGGTAAATCCCACGTTGTACATCGCAGCCCGACACCCAGGAACATCTCTCAGCCACGATGAGGCGGTGAACCGTTGAGAAGTGGGATTTTGTCACTAGTGAATCTAAAAAGAAGGTCCTGCCGAAAACGAGAGTCGGGTCAAATAGCAAAATACTTAGCCAGCACTGAAATGAGACTCTGTGAACAAGCAGGCTACAAAATCAATTTTCATATGAAAGGACGTTGAACAGCGTCCACTTTAGAGTAAAGTGGTCTGCATTGTTGTATTAAATTATTGCCAAGTTTCATACTCAATCAATGATCGCCGATATCTTGGAGGTTATGTTCCTTTAATAATAAAGGCTATATTGTAATTTTTAATAACAATAGTTAATAATACGTATGAAATGCTGAGATATTTGCAAAACTCTCAGCATTTCATACGAGTTATATTTCGCAACATACCCTGCCATTAAGAAGAAAAAGGCAGTAAATAAAAGAGTTAAAATAGTTAATAATAAGTTATGCCCTCACTTTCGATCGTCCTACGTCCCCATTTCTGACCACTCTCTCTGTTTCACTTTTTCCACCCATTTTTCCTTGAATAGGAGACTTAGAGGTCCATCAGGCTGAGCTAGGTATTCTAAATCAACTTTGAATGACATGATCTCATTTGAAAGTGAAAACGCTTCACCCTTATCGATAATGTGCAGCTGTCGATAGTTCTACCGAAGACGTATCCTTCTCAGTGAATTCATTTTTGCTTTAATTAATCTGATTGTGGCACTAGTGGTTGGCAATGCTTGAAATATCAATGCTGTTGAAATAAGCGTGAATGAATGAAGTCACCACTTGTGCTTATATCTAAATTTACTTACAAAATGGCTTTCCGGTTTAAACTCGGCGTGGAGATGGAATGCAACGCGGTCATACTATGAATTTCATGAAATTGATAATTTAAACTAGAGTTGGAAGACACAAGTTGTGACACAGACACAGAAGTTCCCATCTATAAAGTTATAAGGCTCTTTTCAATCTAATATTGCGCTATTGATCTTTCGACTTCGGTCGGTAGAAAAGTAGGAAACTATCAAAATGAAATGTAGCTTGCTTGTACTTTGGAAAGCCACCGGAGTATGAGATGAGCGTTGCATTGCTATCAACAGAGGAACGACATCAGGTGATATCTTCGTTGAACAATGTAGTAATGTTCTGAAAACATAAAATAAGAAACGAAAACAGAAGCAGCGGCAGCATCTCACCACACTACTGACCATCGATATCTTCAAATCTGTTTTCCTTTCGCAGATTTCGGTAATTATTGTTGGTCTAGTACTCTTCATTCGCCGATCATCAGTGGCTAGAGCGACAACAGCTTTGCGCGAGAACTTCGACGTTTGTTCTTACTCCTACATTTCAGTGACTTGAGAAAACCAGTTTCATGCTTGAGGCAAACACCTTCGCATATGTCAATAGAACTGAAATTCCTATATACACCATTCTTGTTGGAAAGTCGTATAGCACAATGTAAATTTCTACCCATTCAGTGCCCAGATTAAGGCGTAAGTAACCACAAGTTCTCAAATTTAGTAAGTAGAAAAATATAACGAAGCATACCAATAGCTGACTTGTTAACAAGGACATTTTATCGTCCAACACCCTTTCTTCTTGCTGAAAACATAAATCAAACCAGCTTCAAACACTTGCTAACTGCATGTGGTATTTTATCCTGTCCTGTGCATACAACATCCTAGTTAGTAGTGCCTCCCAGTACATACATTTTCGTTGGTTTGATCCCACGTCATGGACTAACTAATCTATCGTCCTTCCTGTGTAAGCAGATTGGCACCAAACTTGTCCGCGACTATAAAAACACTGACTTGATACACCAGTAGGTCTAGAAAGTCACTGTATAGGCCGAATATGCATTCAGTCACCACTGCTTTAGAATGGAGTGCAATAAATGGCAAAATTTCATACTCAACGTTAGACTCTTCATCAATGCCGTAGATGGCCCCACGGGTTTAATAACGCAGTTTACAAAGCTAATGCTCATTACTGAAATAGACCATCTTAGAAACACTCAAATGTTTCAGGATCGTTTGCGTAACGCGAATCCTTACACTGCGTACGATACGGAGGCCTTCGTTACACGGTAATGAAGGAGTAAGTACACTTCTACAGGAACGGATTGAATGACTTAGCAGTGCAAGTCACTTTCGAAAACTTTACGCAATCCAAAGTAGAAATAAACATGGATGGCTTTCCGATTCACCAGCTCACGGCTCCCTTAAAAAGTGCCTGATGATCAAGTTTCAAATCACTTCTATCACCTGCAGTCCTGTTGATCGTCGAGTGATTCGAGCGGGCGCCAGTAAATCTTCCATTTTTCCTTGTCGTTTGCAAGAGTAGCCCAGTGGGATCTGCTCGCTCCAGGGACTCGTCGAGCATCAATTCCTTCTTCTAGGCCTTTCGTGAAGAACTCTGACCATGACTGAGTCGATGGTCTTCTTGCAGCGCGTTTAACACACCGAGGAATCCAGTCATAACTGATGTTCCCTCGGTTTTTCGTTCATATGCATTACGTGTCCGGCCCACCTTATCTTCGACTGCATGGCGTACAGAATGGCATCTTTGATTTTTGATCGTTGACGCAGGTCGGGGCTTCGGAACCTTACTTGTGTGAAACGGGACACTTCTAGTATCGTGCCTTTGAATGCACTTCTAACAACGCCGACCGATCTATCATCCCGCTTGCGCAGTGATCAGGCTTCTGACGCAAATGTTGGCGCAGAAAGTACCGTTGAGTCGAAAAGAGTCAGGTGTTCTTTGTCCTCTTCACTACATCCTCGATGCTCTTCAAAGCTCCTCAAGCCGCTCGTTTCTTTCTCCTCATCGTTCATCGTAATGATTTCCCGACCTAGATAGATATAACTGGAAGATTTGGAGATATTCGTTCCGTTGAGCGTGAATGAGGCATGCGAAACCAAACCGTTCCTCATGAACATCGTTTTTGTGAGATATAGTCAAAAACCAATCTTTCCACAGGTTTTATCAAAGTCGAGAAGCGTACATTCCGCATGGCTAATGTTTGGTGTTATAAGGACGATGTCATCAGCAAACCGAAGATGGTGTGACTACCGACCATCGATTTTCACTCACATATTATCCCATTCCAATGTTCGCATGACGTTTTGGAGGGTGGCGGTAAATAATTTTGGCGAGATGCTATCGCCTTGCCTAACTCCTCTTTTGACGTCAATGTTAATATCGTTGTAGAATGGTGATATCTCGGTTGTGAAAATTCTGTACAGCTCACGATGAATCTTTCTTTACTGAGTAGGGACTCCTTGGTTGTCAAGGGATTCCATAACTGTTTCTATCTCAGTTGAGTCAAAGGCTTTCTTTAAATCGATGAAGGTGACACAGAGCGGACTTTTGTACCCTCGCGATACTTCAATAAATTTTGTTATCGTGTGGATGTGGTCCATCGTACTAAATACTTTTCGAAACCCTGCTTGCTCACATGCCTGTCCTTCGCCCAGTGTTCTTTCAATCTTGTTTATGATGACTCGAGTGAAAAGTCTGTAGACGACAGACAGTAAGCACATTGGGGGATACTTGCCAATGTCGTCAATGTCACCCTTCTTGAACAATAACACGGTCGTGCTGGCCTTCCACTGAGTAGGGACCTTGCATTCGGATGGGTGACGTGTGAACAGCCGAGCCAGTGTGTTCACGAGGACTGATGGGAGGTTCTTCAGGTGTTCTGGTGTTATCCTGTCCGGACCTGGTGCTGTTCGATTTTTTATCGACGAAATGGCATGTCGGGTTCCGAGAGGGAGAACCGGTTGTACGGCATATCCATCCTCCTTTATTTCATATGACGGAAGGTGGACGTGGCTATCGAAGAAATCCGAGTAGTATCCATGAATGATTTTCTCCATTGCTCTCTGGACGCTGTAACTGTACCGTCCGGGCTTTGGAGTGCAATCATATTGGTCTTGTAAGTAGCCAAGCATCGGTGGGTTTTGCGAATGCTTGTCCCAGCCTCTGCAACTTCGACCATTACTGCTGCTCTTCTCTCTTTAAGATCTTCTTTTACCGCCTATCTACATTGTTTTGCAAGTTCGCACGTTAGTTTGTTTTTGTCTTCAGCTCATGCGATTCCACGCTGGCGTAACAGCTCCAGTGTTTCTGGAGGCAGATGTCTCTTGGTGACTTTTGAACGCTCAGCTTTCATAGCGCTAACGTAAAGTTGTTGAATGAGCCGATCGTATTCTTCGTCGATGTTATAATTGCGGGTTAATTGCATCACCCTTTTTATTGCGGGTTATCATGGATGGTTCTGGTCGTCATGATAAACTCAGAGAGCCGCTCACACTGTTCGTTCTGCTGTAGTCCGTTGGTCCCAATGCGACGTTCTTCAGACGTTCTTCTTGGTCCAATCTTAGCGCTGAAATCTCCAATCTCGACCTTGAAGAATGTGTGGTCTTCTCTGTAGAACTTCTCCAGGTCCATATAGAAGGCTTCGACTTCCTCTTTGTCACAGCTTGATGTCGGAACATAAACGACGAAGATTGTCAAAGCCGGAATTGATCCGCATTTTTTTAAATCGTAAATGTACAATTCGGGTTATAACCTGTTCGCACGAATCGATGTTCGTAGACAAACTCGTGTTGACGAGAACGCCTACGCCGCCGACTCCTCTACTGTCGCATGTTCCGAGGAACAGTTCTTCTCCGGTGTCATAGACGGCATTGAATAGGTGGCGTCGTCTTGTCTCGGCCAGGTCGATGACGTGGTACCACATCCTTCCTGCTTGAATGAGCAAGCCTTTTATCGATGACTCGGATGCAAGTGTATGTCCATTGTAGGTACAGGTCGCCACCATAGTTCTTTGAAATCCAGACAGCTTCCATTGGCCCTGAGATTTTAGCAGTCCCTCCGTACTCGTCCTACCCAACGCTGCGAAATTGGGGGCTCTTTCGGGGTCAGGGGAATGAAGCCCGTTTCTTTTACTGTTTTTAGCTTTTTGATACCCACGTATAGCTTGCTGGGCTCTAAATATGATAGCTGAGTATGCTCTCAGGTTGCTTGTGACATTCTCCCAGAGCCCAGAGTGTACATGCAGCTTATTTGTTTGAGGCGACTCCTAACTGCCTCCCATATACTTCCCTGTCACTTGATTGCAGGCTTTCGGCCGAATTGACTCGTAGAATACGAATCGCATAAGCAAGAACGCACCCACACACGTTTGCATGAACGCGCTCGTAAATACAGAAGGTATGTGCCAAATCGGAGCAGCAGAAACAGGGAGTCCATCCTCTGGATCCACCTGCGTCTTAGGGAAGCAAAGGTCTCTTTTAGTCCGCCATAACCCCTGTTCCGCCACCTGGGGACGCGCCACGTAGCCTCGCGACTAACCGGCTAACGGGATCCCTTATATGACGGAGATCCACGGTCAGATGGTTTGGAAATATTACTTACAAATGGGAGGGTTAGCAATGGGACAGCGACTGACACCAAACCCTGCCATTTCGTGCATGTATAAAGTCGCAGTCCCACACTCGGTCTCAGACCACTGCTTTACTGTAGGTATATAGTAAACTTTTTTGTCATCCACTCAATACAAGTGGTGATAGAAAATGTTTTAAACAAAATCAACGGTCAGAGCATATAAATTTCATACGAGAAGAAAAGCCGGCTTTCGTTTTTGAACGATCAAATCAGTCAATTCAAAAACAGCTATATCATCAAATGATGCTGAAGGCCAAGTAACAAAAACCTGCTTGTTCATTACCTCTCCATCATCCTTTATACACGAAAACGGCCTCTGTGAGAAATATCTTTTGAAAAGGCAAAAACGTACGCATAGAAGGAAGAAAGAAAGAGGATTTGCCGAAGCTAGCGCGGGAAGTAGACATTTCCAGTGGTTACGAAACTGTAGCTTCTCGGGGTAACTTTAGAGGAAAAGCAAAGCCCTCAAACGATAAGCCTAGTAGAAGTTGTGTCCGTTTAATCGTTCCTTCACTTCCAAAAAAGCAAACAGCTAAAATGCGGTGCTTAAAAGGAGCCTGCCTAGAGAAATCGGTAGCCGTGATTGAACTACGATTGAGCCTACTACATCATCAGCATTTAGTTCGTAACCGCTTGTATGACCGTGTGCTCACAGTTGAAAATGGCATGATTTCTCCTGATGGTAGAAACTTTGATCCCATGAGTTTGAGTATCGTGCACCCAATTTTTTGCAAAACGTGCGCGTACGAATACGTTCGAAGTTGCCATCTTCGCACAGGATTTTAGAACATTAGCGCGCAAAACTTTTGGAGGAAATTTTTTTCCCTCAGAATTTTCAATGAATTCCCAAAATCCATGGATGAATCGTAAAGGGGGTGCCATGTGGTTACGCGAGACCTCGGTCATAATTCAAACTGATTTTTGACTTGAGACAGACGCATTCTTCACCCATGTAAACTCTATGCGGTTGACCTCTATCATTAAGTGTAACACTAACAGCAAACAGTGAGTGTTTACACGATACCATGTCTCATAATTGAAAATTCGATTTTTGTTGTTACAACTTTGAGTCAGTTTATCAAGAAAAACGGAAGACTACGGATCCTTCTTTATGAATGATATGATCAATTTTCGCCTTCCAAACAGTTAATTCTGCTACAATGCATAACTTCTTAGTGTTGTAACCTTAAAATCAAGCAAGTAATGTGACTTTACAGGTTGCAGGAAATATCACATTTCCTATGTGATAATCTTGGCCTTTTTGTCAACTTAATATTTAATGATCAGTCATGTGGGAAATACAATCTTACCCTTAGTACTGAGAGTTCATGAACGCCACCGTTGTTAAGATAAAGTACCAGCTTTAACATGGATGAATCTAAAGACGATAGTGAACAAATTTCTACACGGAGATGATCATGCAATTTTACATGCTCACGTTTCAAGCCAAATCCTACCAAATGCCGGAACCTCAGGTGGTCTTCAAAAATATCGCCACTCTCCCCTGGGGCACATGTGCTATACACCATGCAAAACTATTCCTTTGCTTTTCTCTAAGCAACGATTTTAAAATTTCACTGAATCTTACAAAATGAGTTTATCTGCTCTGCATATTGTAGACAGCGCATGTTTACATTCCGTAGAACCTCCAGCTTACATCCCCCACTTGCCACATTTCACAGAATTAGTTGTTGCATTTTGTGCCAATCACAGCTTATGTTCAGAAGCAAAAAATAAAGAATAAAAAAATGTGAATGTTCTGGAAAGAAGGAGTGGATAGCACAGCAGTAAGGATGCTGATCATAATGAGCTTGGTGCTGGTTCGATCCCTAACCCGAAGCGTAGCAAACCTATCATCCCTCCGAGACTGGGAGATTGGTACCGGACTTGTCCGGGAAAAAAATCACGCTCTGTAATCCAACTGGGAACGCTCTAGTCCGACTACGGCAGGACTTCGGTGGATGACCTTTGTGGGTGATGGATGCAAGGAAAAGAGTCGAATGTGAGAAGCGCTGGGATCCGCACAGCAGATGTGAGGATTGATCGTATAAAATAAAAAATAAAAAAAGTTGTTCTGTAACATGCTCTTACGTTTGTACAGAAAAAAAACTGAGACGGTGGAAAAACGCCTCCTTTCGAGCTACGTCGCTGAGATGCTGATTGCAAGAAATGTGCTAACAACGGTGCGAGCAGTTAAAGTAAACTTTTTGATACAACTAATATGTGGAGCAAGCTAGTTTCCCAACATCGAGTACCTCAAGGTTGGAAAACACTTTACATGTATATAGTACGTCAATAACGAGTTAAGATGGACAATTGAGAAAATGTTAGAATGAAAAATGAATGATAGTTCACGCAATAAACCGATGGTAAGGCATTATGCGAATTAACTATTTACGAATAAAGAGGAAAGCTCGAGGAAAAGCAGAAGGCGTGACAATTTTATATGATAGTGATCGTTATTCAGTGGATAAAGTGGTAAATATTTCATCACATCATAACGCTAGTGTACTTATGACCGATGATGCTCCTCATGTTTGCGAACTTCACACGCGAGACAAGAGTCCAGCCAGAAGCATAATTACAAGATAGAAAAGGGCCGATTGTTCGTGGTATAAACTGGGCCATGCCACCATAACCAAGAGACGAGGATGCACTGTGTGCCTGATGAAAACAATAGTCTTGAGTTTGTTTTGTCAGTCGACTAATTTTGCCTCCACAATTCATGTACAGAATGTTGGAAGAATTGAATGCGAGATTTTAATATGAAAATATTTGTTAATAGTAGTTTTTTGAAACATTCCACATGTGTTCATATCGTCAAAGTAGGAAAGAATATAGTGGAAAGCTATGGGAACAACAACAACATTAACATTAAAGATACTCTATTTTGCGTTTGCTTATATTTGGGTTATTTTAGACTAGCAATATCGATAAGAATTCACAGTGGTAGTTCCCATAGCTTTCGTAGAATCGTCATAAGGTACAGAAATCAGTGTTTTTTTAGGCAAAGGTAAAGTCACCCTTCTAAAAGGTTCTATTTGAAGTTTGAAAGGTGAAGGCTTGAACTGGAAGATGAGCCCTAATTCTAGTGGCTTCCGACGCAGTGATCTTCTCATTGGTGAAGCCGACTGTTTCCTCCCATAGACGGATTTGCTTCAACATGCGCTAATGACTTTCTGGATGAATCAATTTAACATCTCACTGAAAGATGTGCCTACATAATGGAAGTGAGCATTAGATGAAAAAAAAAACAGATCGAAAATGAGATGCAAAGGTTATGACGAAATTCGTTCGCCCACCGATCTCGCTTAATTTCTCTTAATGAAATATGAACGAATAATTCAATAAGTAGAACCGTAGGCAGGTGCTTTGCTAGCTAATAGAGAAGCTGACATCTTAATCGTTCATCGACATACAGTACTGTTACAGTATTCCTAGTAATGATAAAGTTTTTTCTGCCCACAAAGTAGAAGAAAAACAACTTTTTGAATGCGTACTTATAGAAATTACAATACAATGGTGCAGAAAATAGCGCAGGAAGCCGTCGATTTGGAGTCAAGCAAAAGCGGTCGCGATACACTTGCATCGAAAACATCCGTCATTCGTAAAGATCATTCGAGTGAAATATCATAGAAAAACGATGAAAACCAAAATGATGTCACAAAATCTCCTTTCAATGTTTGCTTGGCAAGGTAATGAGCAAACTTCATGAGTACAAGTTGAATAACCGAACTTCATACCATGAAACTATCAGATCACTTCACGAAGATATAAGAATGAAACATAGCGCCGTACCATGTGTGCTTGAACTACATCAAATTCGAATACAACGTTCCGAAAATGAAAGCGAAGTTTCTGCACGAAGACTCATCAGTTACTTTGATTGATGCCAAGAATCACATAATTAAAAAATAATGGCGAATGCTTTCAAAAGATAAAGATCGTCGTGAGAGGATCTCCACTCATGTGTGGGTCGACGTAACGACGGCCGAGAGTGGCTATCCACTTATTTCCTTCTCAGTCGTTTACTTTGCAATAAGTAGGCTATTTGTGGCACATTCTGTATTGGATCGATAAATCATCAAACGTAGACCATTGCGCTAGGCATCAGACTTGACAAATTTTAAAAACAAACATAAAAAGTAGCTTAAAAACACAGTCTGAAAAGTTGGTCGTTGTGTGTAAAGCGGTAGCGATCTTCTGGAGTATACCGTACTTTGTAGACTTTTGGGAAACCAAGCTCCATTTTCATAATGACCAAAATTATGGGATTAAAGGACCAATTGATGTCTTGCAAATGGCAAACGCGCGCGTGTAGCGCAATTGTTGGAGGCACTCTGCAATACACATGGGATCGATCCCAGCCTCGCAGGCTCACAAAGTCCTCCATCCCTGCGGGGTCGGTAAGTTGGCACGAAACTTGTCTCGAAGAATGGCACCATTGGCCTGATACATCGGTGCGCCACCGTGAGCCATTGTAAAAGGCATATATGCATTCAATCACCTCTTACGATACTACTCAATGAAGTCGAATGTATGGTGCATCCCTCAGGTATTGATGAACTCCGACAGCTCCATCCTTTACCCTTTTATCCTAAATGTCACACTCCACTCTGCATCGGGATGGTTGAAACTTTAGTGATAAGAATACGATTACAATGATTAAAATAAAACAACAACTGAATTAACACGCAAATCCGAAGACATTCACGGATAATGGAACTCACTGTGAGCGTAGTTTATGTCGTTTTTAATCTTTTTAACATGACCAGTGATAAGATCTACTGTGCGGGTCCCAGCGCTTCTTGCATTCGATTCGCTGTTCCTCGCATCCATTGCGTACAAAGTTCTTAGAGCAGTTCACGTGTTGTTTCTATTGCTGCTTGAGGATTACATCTGATTTATGAATGTCGTGGGATGGTTGTCGAGTCGATTCACCTTGGTCTTGGAAATAGCCAAGCAACGGCGTTCCCACGTAGAATGGAGGTGGGTAGGGAATTGAACGATTACTTTCTTCGTAATGGACAGCATCACTAACCACCACTTTGAATCTAGAACTTTCAAATGTGTTGCATATAGACTAAATAGATTTCGGTAGTGACTATTTTGTTAGCTTATTTGATTATCAATTACTTGATCAGTCGCTATAACAATGAATAGAAGATGGCAGAGATCATAGCAAGTAAGAAAAATTGAAGAAGAAAGAGCTCTCGCATTAGTGGAATGTTTTCAGAGAAGAATTAAGTTTCCAACATTTTCACTGATAACTACAATGCTTCACAAGGTTTTTTTTGAAATATTTGTGGCATATGTTGGCCGGCCTGGTGTAATACTTGCGATGCGAGCCGAGTCCGTTGTTCCGCATGAATCGAATCCGTTACAATCCGTTTATTATTTCTTATATAACCTTATTAACTGACAAAAACCTCACTGAGCACTCCCTTCAACGAATTTATCATTCTAGTCACTCTAATACATTACTGCTTTGTGATTATGCAACATGAAGATTTTCATCGATCGTTTGTGGAGAATTCGATTTTTAGCCCTTCATAAAATCCATGCCTCGTTCTGCGGGGCTCATTAAAAGCTCCAGATGTTGCTGAAAATCTGCATATTGGTCGTCATCATAGGAGTTGAACCTCTCAACCGAGAACATATTACTGCGGAACAACAACTATCAGGCACAGGTGAATTTACCCTCTTATTTACTTCCAGTAACGATGCTAAGATCTCATATGAATATTCCAGGGTGCGAGAACAAATTTTGTGCAATTATCTTCAAACTACCCCTATAATTTTTGTTTGTTCTTAGACACTGCTGAAAAGGCCTATCTTCGAACTATAACGATTGTACAACAACGAACAGAACTCGGACGACTGGTATTATTGCTGTGCCGAAAAAACTGCCCAAGGTTGCGCTCTTTGGTAAACGCAATAGTTCATTTAAAAATTTACGATGGTTTCGCTCAGACATTCTCACATTGGAAAACTTATTCGCAAAGTGGCAAACGACCTTTCTTAATTCACAAAGCCCGATGACTGGCAGTGATGTCGATTTGAAACTATTTGAGCACTTCTCAATTGTAGACTAAGCCAGTAATCCGGGTAAAGGTCTCCCGGTCAGAAACATTTTATTGAAATGGAAATGGTAATGAATTCTGTATAGTTACTAAAAAAACATTTCAATCTAGTATCAAGCGACGACTAATCATCTGTTAACCGTTGTGCTGTTTGTGGAGAGGTTGCAGTCAGCGCTAGTAAAGTTTAAAATCGACTCTGTTGCGTCATAGTTGCCCGGTGAGTTCTGCAACCGACAGACACAAACAGCATTACATTGTTCGTTGATGTCCCACGTGTACTTCACATCTTGCAAGACACAACATCTTTCAAAACACTAACCACCTTCACCGATTGTCAAGACGCGTTTCATTTTCAGCCTACCTGACTTTCGACATCTTGCATAAGCGTTGGTTTCCCTGATCGCTTGGCCATCGACATTGATCGGAATTGCTTGTTCTTTTCTTACTTCTTTTACCGCTATACAGAATGCCGCTAGGACGAATTCAACAACACATTGGATAACGCTAACCTCATTTTTGTTCTCCGAATTGTATACAATTACGTCTGCTCTTTGCACACGGAATTTCACGATATACTAGTGATAGCGTCTTCATAAAGAACGGTGTGTTGCCATTATGGTGAAATTAGTTCATATCATTTTCGACGACATCGCACGAGAACTGTAATGAAGCAATGTGGGAGTCAAAGTCGATAGTTATCAACGATTGCATCCTTTCTTCGCTAACAATGTCGTTTCTAAAGCATCAAGAATTGGGTGGAACAAATACTGCCCGATTTCAACACTGTTTGTGAAAATCCAGCTTTTGGCTGAATCCAAGGGACAGAATTTTGGAAAATAACGATATTGAAGCACGTGAGAACGAACTTTTCCTGGTCTCCTTCAACTTGGATAGAAAAAATAACTCTTCATGGTTCATTTATGCATACATGGGTCCTGAACTTACTAGAATGAAAGACTTGACTTTAGTTCTGCACAGAAGGGTACATATTAGGTTTACCAGAAATTAATGTTGGGTTTTAGTCTATGTTTTCAAAACTGCTATCTCAGCTCTGAACAGACTCTGTTAATCAGAAGATGGACCATTAAAATCTGTAAATTTTTGCCAACGAGAAACAAACTCGCTTACATCAGTTTCTAAAACTCTGGATATCCCGATGCGATGAAGTCGTTTAAAGCACTTTCGGGTTCGGCTTGGACTATGAAGCATTTTTCTGGCACAGGTAGCTATCGATATGCTCGAAAAGTCGTAACCGATAGACTAGAGGTATAATGAGTATGGTATATGAGGCAGAATTTTGTAACGCACCTCATTCAACTTTTCAGCGTAGGCTGTACGACCTGGTGCCACGTGGTGCTGTGGAGAATCGATGTTCTACCGTTGACCAAAGCGGGTGTAGCCTTTGAAGTTTCTAGTGAATTTCGTCAATTTCCTTGACATAGTTCTCCGCCGTACTCGTTTCACTCGAATTCGGGAAGCTGTGACGGATTAAGCCAACTGCACACCGTAAAAGGGTCACAATGGCTTGCTTTGGGTGCAGTATCAACATTGGGAAGTGTTAACGGAGCTAGCTTCTTCCTTGTCCAACCACTGCGGCGAACGACTCCGGTTATCGCAGAGGGCATCCTCACAAGTGACAATACGATATAGAAACTGGTCGTTCTGGCTACGCAGAGGCGACGACGACTCCCTACAATGGTAAATTCGCTGATCGCTGGGTTCGCTCGCAAAGCCTTCCACCCCTCTGGAATCGGCAAATTCACGCCGGATTTGTTTAGGAGGGTTGCAGCACTGACTTGATATATCGGTAGGTCCGCGTCTTCCATTGTATAGGCCAAATATGCATTCAATCACCTCCAACAATGCTTAATGAAGTCGAATGCATGGCACACTCCTTATGGATTGATCAACACCAAAGCCCTTATTCTTTTATTATCTCCAACTTTTCAATTTTCACATAATCTGTAGCTGTGCTCAGACCGAGTTCTTCTGCAAGTTCTCGAACAGTCTTACGTGTATTTGCTTCCATCAAAAGCTTCAATTCATCGTGTTCAATAACAGAAGGATATACGCGACCTTCTTCACCTCCGGTGTCGAATTCATGCGATGAAATTTTCCAAACTAATAGTGCACCGTGCGTTCCGTAACACTTCTCTGGTACATCTCGTTAATGTTTCGAGCCGTTTGCTTTGCGTGATTGGATGCTTGAATTCGCAGAAGCAGATTTGCCGAGATTCCTCTTTTGACATCTGAAACCCTAGACTTTGAAATTTGTAAGAAAGGCAATTTATATCGTCGTCCAGTTAAATGTTGTGGAGTACATAAAATGTGCCTTGTAATAACAGGTAATGGTATAGCATCCAATGAAAACCTAATGTTCAGAAATATACATGGATGGTGAAATCACAAATTTGACATCAATTTCCGAGCAACTTAATACTAGGGAGTTTTCTACAAATACGGAAATACTAGTATGAACAGTCGTTTTCTTGTTCAGCAATCGCGAGGTTTTTAAACAGGATACATTTACTTCCATAGAAAAACACAACACAATACAACACTGGCTGACGTTTCGGTAGTACCACCTTCTTGATCAACCATATGCGACTATAATCAGCTGTTCTAAACTTCCTCATTGGAAGTCACAAAAAAGCGGCTCTGAAGAAGGTGATACTGCCGAAACGTCAGTTAGTGTTGTATTGTATTGTGTTTCTCTATGGAGGTAAATGTATGCTGTTTAAAAACCTCGCGATTGCTGAACAAGAAAACGACGCATTCATATTCCAATGCCGAGGTTAATAGAAAGTCCGATAGTAGGAACAGTATTAGCAATAAGTAAGAATAATGATAATGGCAATAACTATTATCATCATCATCTTCGTATACAGTTGAAACTTGTTCTTTCTTCTTACATGAACCGGAACCGATATCACATGTAGAGCATTTGCCTTATTTGAATCATCTTCTCACATCAACCATCCGTGAACTCTTCAAATTGTATATTGGTTTGGCTCCTGCTTGAGATTTTCGCTACTTCTTTATGGACGTCCACGAATGCTAGACGGACTGGTTCTCTTAGGAAATTCAGATTAGCCGCGCTAGGACGTTCTCAGAACTTCACAATAGGCAGTCGCCAGCCATTTTTTTAACAGAGGGAGCTTCCCAGGCAAGTTGGGTTCTAAAGTAGGTCCTTGCATTGGGAAAATTATGATGGAACTTCTATTTGAAGCGTTAAAATCAGGTTTGCACACGCTTTACTGCTTATGACAATCATTAGAAGTGCTTTGTGACAACTACAATATTGTGATTATAACATAACTTGTAAATCTAATGCTACATTGTGACTATAGTTGTTAAGACCGCAGAAAAAAATTAGGAAACCTGTACTATTTCGAATAATGAATTATTTCCCTATCAATGTACTTTTACCTGTAATCACTATTGATAGTTCCTTCTTGACAAATAGCGATATTTGAACAGCTTACAACTTCACAGATTTTCCGAGGAAATCTGACCCTGTTGCTTCTAGCATATATACATGATTTTCTCCAAACATTTCGTCGAGTTGACAACTTATTTAGGGTTAGATTTCGGAAAGCTGAAAAACAAAATTCAGTTGGAGTTACAAAATTCAAAGCTCTAAAATCTCTGACGCAAGTAGTTTATGAACAACAGCGTGTACGACTGAGTTCCATCAAAAAAAGGCCATTTCTCAAACTTGTCAATTAAGTCATACCATCTTGGTTATTCCTTACCGTGAAAAAATTGCAGATTCCTCAATGGGTTCGTGATATAAACGAAGATAAAGGATATCACGGTAATGACATAATCGGGTATCACTATTATACATATAAACGAGTGAGTTCGTATACATAAAGATAGATTTTTTATCCTCATGGTTCGAACTTTCCCATTCATAGTTTTTCAGCCATTAGCTTTCATCAACGAAACGAATATCGACCAGTTTCCAACACTGATTTATATCATCGCTCAAATTCCGACCTACTTTACTGGAAATATTAGCAGCCGAGTTAGTAAGGATCGGTCTTCATTTAATTTCTATGGAGCTAAACAAAAATTCTGTTACAGCAATCGGTATCAACGTGGATAAACGAACTGGATGAGGTGAAAATTGTTACACCACAAAATATCAACGAGCTAAACGATCTTCTCCAAAGCACAACAAACTGCACTGAAAAATTACTTGTCCTCGTCAACAACGAAAATATATGCCCACTACTTTATTGGAATAATATAGCCAGGTAAATTCCTTTAGTACTGTTAAATTTCTAGTGCATAACTCATGATTATCTGCTTTAAATCAACAAAGAGCTGAGCTGAGCTGTCAAAAATTATTTCCTCCCTTAACAACTACAACTCTTCTTCTGATGACAAAATAAGAAGCAAGGATAAGCAATGGGTTTCACAACGCGTCATTTAAATGCGATGTGGACGAAATAACTTCCTTACATTTAATACAAGGATTAACTAGCCATCTACTACGTTCAATTTAAAACTGTATTAATGAAACGAATTCTTCTGTCTTCTGTTTTACTTTGGTTATAAGTGAAATGTCAACACAATCGTTATTTCACCACTGCAAGAATCGAACACTTTCAGAACTGTTCATATGTATAGCGGAGTACGACCGGTTTACTTGTCAGCCCCATTGCCGGCAGCGATGAGTGTGACACTCTACAAGCGATTACCACTTCTAGACGAAACAGTTTGTCGACAGATGTTTCTCGTTCATCAATCCAGCTACAGTGTACTTTTTCAGGACTACACACCAAATGCAGTACGTAGAAATATTCGAAAACGTCAAATATTTAATCTACACATCTGTAGAACGTCATGGCTATTCGAAATACAATTTACACGCTTTCAAAGATAAAAGAGACGCTTTAAACGTACTGAATACGTTATGTTGGTAGCCATGAACATATTGTTACTAGAAGGGGAGCTTATTCCTTGTGGAAATCAGAATTTCTGTCTATAATCATACAAATTCCCTCAACGATCTATCGCCTCATCGTGGTTGGGAGGTTTTCCTGGGTGTCGGACTGCGACGTACAGCGGGAGATTTACACCCTGGCAGGGTCTTTTAAGCTGATAAAGAGTCCGGCGTTTCCAACAGGAAGCCTACTTAAGAGCAAAGCAATATCACGACCCACCACCGTCCTGGTATCAAAATCGCATGGTGGCATATCTCCCTCTGATCCACAAGGGAGGCGATCACTTGCAGTGGTGACGACCTGGAACAAACTTTGGCCAGGCTGAGCTCGAGAGTCCGGCGAAACACAGTGGCTAAACCAGCAAAACTCTGATAAATGGTGAATATGCTGGGCTCCCACAACCAGTGAGGAAGGGCCATCCAAGTATCCAAGTAATCATACAAGTTCACACGATGCAAGTAACACGCAACATAGGATTCTGTTCTTCCCACAACTTATCAAATATTTTAATTGTTTAACAGTACTTAACTTCCAACCGGCTTAGCAAGCACCACCCTTAATTTTAAAACACTCCACGATTCTAACGGGATAAGCTAAGAATTTAACAACATTTTCGAGCCTTTAATCTCATTTTTCGCAGTGAAGTACTACTCAGTATTTTTATAAACGATTAATAGTTCTAATCTCAAAGCTTTTAATCTCACCTGCTCGAATGACCTAGTTATGAAAGCAATCTTAACCTCGGAAAATTACGAAGGCTTCCTTAACTTTTCCTTACTTTAGGTCCGGGAGTTAATTGAAATTCTTTTGCCGAATGACACTGGGGAATGTCCGCCGCTGCAAGACACTATGTGGTATTCGATTCTTACTCCACTCACAGAATTACAAATGATCTACTTTTCTGGTGAACACGATCTCGTGAAGTTGGAGCACAAACAGTCATATGTGCTTGTTGGTATCACTGGTGGTGTGGCTGTAATTGCATTAGCAATTAGTATTTTTTGGGGTTTGAATGGCTCCGCCTTTGCGAATTAACAAACTGTGTGGTGTACACAAGATACCTACAGAATTATAGCGTTCCGAAAATTTATAGCTATGGAAACTACCACTTGATCTCATTTTTTAACTTCTCCGTCTATAATTCTTCATATTTTGGTCTAATTTTCATTGGTCAGTTAACCAGTCTCCGAGGTAAGACGTGGCCTCTTATTTCATGACCTTTTCACATTTTCTAACATGGTCACACCATTCTATCATCTTTTTAATATCCGAACGTCAGTAATTTAATCGTTACGTAAAATATGTATAAAATCGTTTCTGATGTGCTCAATGTGGCTCGAACATTATTAATCACAGTACAATAAAGAAGATAAATAGATAGCCTTCCTCCAAGAAAAAAAATCGATTTAACAGCTCCAAGAACTCAGAAAGATATCACCACCAAATTAAATATCATAAAAGTAGAAAACCGTAGACATTTTTGAACGTTATACCACAATAAAGAAGCCAGCCTTGGGACACCATCACCCCGAGAAATTTGAAACGTGTACGAGATCAACTTTTTTTTATCGCATGCTTGAGTTCCTCCTCCAACTTGGACAACTGACTCACATTTCCGGTTCGCAAATCCTCGAAAGCATCCTTGAGAAAGACTGGAATTTTGATCAAATAAATTTCTTTTTGTAGATTTGGAAATTAAAATTGACCGTTTACTGAGTGTGAACACACAAAAGACATCGCTACTACAGCAAAAGTACCTTTGAAGAAATTATAGTTCTATCAAAACTAACCGGTATCGGTACAGAATTGCATTGCTGCATCTCTGGAAAGTAGCATCGGATCACCAACACATGTAACAAATTCGGTGATGACATTATTTGCAACTTCTGTCACGGTCTTTTTGAACAATTCGTCACCTGGAATTCATAACTGAATGTTCTAATGCGTGAGAAGAATAATCTCAAAATGAATATTAAAAAATGGTTTAAATAATGCCTTCATATTTTTTCTTCAGAGCAATGTAGAACGCGTGAACAACATTCTCGTCAAGGAAAAACTGTTCCCAGAGGTGAAATAGCTGAAGGAGTTCCTGAAACAAAATTTGAAAAAACGATCATCATTACAGAAACATGTAAGTCACAATGTATTCGGCGAAGTATGGATGAAGTTATTACAATGAGTGTTCATACCTGCCCTACAGTAGTGATGTATTCATGAGGAGAAGTACCGAACGTTGGAAGATCTGTTATACGAAGTTCTTTTGACTCCGTGTTCCTCTGAAATATCGCATGGAATATATATATATATATATATATATATATATATATACGAATATATATGTATATATGTGCGTACACGTATATGAACATACATATGCATATATACGTGTACACATATTTGTACATATACATATATATATACACATATATACATACATACATATTTGTATATACATATATGTATACGCGTACATATATATGTGTACATGTACACATATACATGCATATATATATGCACA